ACGTACGAACGTCGAATTAGAAAAAAAATCGGATAGTCTCGGTGATTTGAAATATCCCCATTAGTGGTCAAGTAGGACCGTGACATTAACTTTTATCTCTAATTAGGAAATTGTACAAATTTATCTTTATAGTTTGTTAATTTTAAGAAAATAAACAGGTAAATTAAAATTTTTTACTTTAGTAACTAGTACGTAACAATAAAATATTAAACTGCATTTTTTATTGACGGTTCTTCCTCGTAGTTTAGCAAATAGATCATGTGCCGGACATCCGTGACATAGTGATCAAAGATACTGCAGGTCCTCCGGACAATTATTTCCATATTTACTAAATATTTTGGAAAACTTATAATTATGAAAACTAGTTTGAAAGTATTATCATACAGAATTCTGTCTGATTCACACAGTTAATAAAAGATATTGTGTTTTATGCTATTCTTCAAGTTTCATTAAAACAGCCTCTATTTGATTATTGACTATTATTTTCGCAGTAGATTATGTAAAATTTGTAAATTTACAAATAAAAAAATTTAGAATTGAATTATTTAAACCACTATTATATTGCATAATATTATTTTTTTTAAATTTGTAGCATTGATTTAATAAATTTGGCTAGATAATTTCCTTAACCAAACTACATAATAATATACCGTATAGTTCCGAAATTTAAACACCACCCCTCTACCCCAATTTTTGAATCTCAGATTAGCGGAATTTGTAATAAGATCTTTGGCCAAATTACTCCGCTAATCTGAGATTCAAAAATTGGGGTAGAGGGGGTGGCGTTTAATTTCGGAACTGCTCGGTAATTTAAAAAAAAAGTTGAGTCGTAAACATAATCTATACGATATATTTGTAGCATCACTTCTTCTTAGGTGTGTAATGGCAGTCAGGTATTTCAATCTTTTGAAAATTTCCTCTATTTTTCCACCTGGTAATATTATCATCATTTGATGAACTATTAATAATCTCCATCGTATGAAGAATCTCCATCTACAAAAGAAGAAATTCAATTTTACGGAATTTAATAAGTAAAACAAAAGAAAAAGATCAAACCTTTGAGTAAATTATAGCAACCAATGCATCTAATGTTTTATTGAATTGAGAAACATCAGCATAAATTTCATAAGGTTCCTCTCTGACATATCGACATACGTATCCTTTGGGACAGTCTATTCGCGTCTTAATTAAGACGGCACCTTTAAAGATTCCAAATAAGTTAAAAATATATATATATCAAAACTTCAAAGTACAGCTAATAACACAAACCTGCATGAACAAACCCGGGAACACTTATTTGACGGATTTTATCCTCACGAAAATTCACCTTTCGAGCAAGATCTACGAAGATGTCTTTTAGCGTCTTAGGTAATGATAAGCCACGTTCTTTTGTTAACTTTGTTCCGTACTCTCCCTCCCATTGGGGGCCACTTTCAGAGGCCGCCCACTCAACGGGTCTAGACCCAAATGTCCGAACATAGCCGTCTCCCTTTTTACCGCATATTTTACGTTTCATTTTTTTTACGTTGCTAAGTTCTCGACCTCTG